CGAAGACAAGATGAGAAAACTATTGAAGAAGATCCTCCTCAACCTTCTCTTCCTCCGCCACCAATACTTCAAACAAAAAGTGCACTAATTAATAATGATGATACTTCACATGATATAAGTGATGATGATGATGATGACGATGATGAAGATGAGGAAGATGATAATGAACAAGAAAATAAAATTGATCGAATAACAGATATATTTATTCGAAAATTTATTGATGAAGCTATTGATCAAGGAAAACATATTGAACGTTTAAAAAAAGAAGCAAATCAACCAAAAGATTTTGATATACAAGAAATTACTGAGAAAAAATCTTCTTCACCTCAAGATTGGTTATTCACTAACGAAACAATTAATGGAGATAGCCCGAAAAATATTGAACAAGTAAATAGATTTCTTTTTTCTTTTACATATACAAAGACTTTTCTCTTTAGAATGAATTTACACTTGATTTAAGTCAATTAGACGAGAAAAATCGTAAGTCATTTAACATTATTATAAATAGTTGAACTTTAGGTAAATTTGAAAGAATATGATAAGTCATGCGGATAGTATTCTTGCACCTAAAAATATTTTATAGTCATCAATTACAGGAAATTCGTTTTTTGCTACAAGTATATGTTAAGTCAGGATTAGCGGAAGTAGGGTAAAGGAGTATATGCATATCCCCTCACAATAATTGAAAAATAGCATATTTTGCAACAAATACCCATTATATAACCACCCTAAAATGTCTGGTATCCCCCTCCTAATCATGGGTACTTGAGGGTGGAGTTACTGATTATTTTAGATCAAACATAAATATATCCGTAGTATAAGAAAGTCACGATTATCTTTTTCAATCTATGGTTTCTTTTGCATAAAGAAGAAGTTTAATGTAGTTAATTATTTTTGTATCTAAATTGAGAATAAATATGTGAGCATTCAGAAAACATACGAAACCCAACAACCTATATTAAAAGATCAAATATAGATGACCTTAACATATTGTAACTTAATACAATTAGAATGTCAAAATAACAAAAAAAGATATCATTATTGTTTTAAAAATAATTTTAGCTAATGAACCACGAGTTGAAAGTCCTCGTAAAATAGTTATTGAAGAACCCGTTAAATTATTTGTACCTCATACACGTGAACAAGTGACTCAATTATGTCATCAAGCAATAGATATTTTATTCGATCAAAATAAAGATTTTTCTGATCGATTAACTATTAAATCTAAAATACCAAATGACTATTTTACTTATGATCAACAAGGTATATTATTTTTGTTTATTATTATTATTGTTTTAAAATTTAATTAATATAAATAGATTCAGAGAGTGATGATATTCGAATTAATCGTCATGCTTATTGTCAAATGATATTTGATTTATGTATTGAATTATTACATGAAATGTATACAGAAAATATTATACCATCAAAATATCCTCAATGGCAACCAACTAAACTTGTTTCCAAACGTTATTATCGTGGAAAAAAACCTGAAAATCGTCATGATATTGAACAATTGATTTCAGCAAAAGTTTTAGAAATCTTATGTTTAAATAATCGTCCAATAGTATATTCAAAATGGCGTGTATCAAATGCACGACGTAATGGTACAGAAAAATTTGAAACAGTACTTGATGAAGAAATACGCCGTACAGAATCACAATGGATTAATTATAGTGATGATTGTTTACAAATGAAATTTGATGTAGCTGATTTAATATTTCAACAACTAGTACAAGAATCAATAACAGAATGTCTTTCTGTTGTTGATAAACGTTTATTTTTGAGCAGTAATAGTACACGTCTTTAAAATTAAATAAAAACAATATTCAAAAAAAAAAACAATTTTATTTATTCGAATAGAAACAAAAAATGATTTTTTTTTTGTAAATGTCTGTTTTGTTTTTGTTATGTATTATTAACATAAGACAATTTATATTGCCTCCTTTTTTTTTCACGTGTGCTATTTGTGTGTGCGTATATCAATAAAAAACAATTAGTTTTGTTTAGTAAATTAATTATGAATGAAATTTGATGAATTTTAAAAGTTTGAATATTTCACTAAGGAATTAATAGGCATAAAGTATAATCTGCTTATGATGAGTATAGCATGATGTTATTAAAAAATAGGTCATCTATGAACTATTAATAATTTTACCGAGAGTTCATCTTAGTTATTTGAGTACAAGTGAAAGAAAGTATTTATTATATACCAGGATATTTTTCTCATCTCAATTGGCAGTTTCTATTCCATTACGAATAATTAACAAAGCCAGTTTGACTGAAAATTCTAATCTTTAATATGTGATATAATAATGTAATTGCCCTCCATCTCTCATACATTCAATATGCTCACTGGTTAAATTATACGAATATATATTGTACTTTTTCGAATGATCTTTAATAAATAGAATCATGAATGAATACACTTTTAGTAGGAACTAGGAATACAACAGCAACACTCGGTGATTGTAGCTGAGAAAATTTCTTGATTTGATTATCGACTTCAAGAAAAACTATTTTTTCAAGGCTACGAATTAAGTATTAAATTTGAGAAATCGGCTGATTATATATCTAAATTCTTTCTTTGAGGATATAATTGAATAATAAGATTTTTCATAATTATACAATCAAATTACTGCTCACCCAAAAGTAACTTCGTTGGCTAGTTCATGCTTGCCGATATAAGCCGACATCTCGATCGATGACTCAATCACTTGAGTTACGTATCTGCTCACGACTATTTATTAGTATTCACTCCACAGTGAGCATGAAGTCTAATTATCACTGATAGATCGCATACTGAAATCAGAATAGAAACATCGCGTTACTAAATAAAATTCGAGATATCTTTAGCTTTAGCAAAAATAAAAATAATACTTTTGAGCAGAATCATTTATATATAAATTTTATATGCCTTAATATTTTTCGCAATAAAAATGATTCAAATCATGACGCAAAATTGAATGCTATAAATCACTCGCTTTCATCTATTGACGTATTAGTTAGTTATTTTTAGCTGTAAAACAAACGAAATAATTCGTATAACTTATAATTTACTTCCAAATAACGATACCAATCAGTGGTAATTTAACAAAATAAATCTTTTTTTCTCTATTGAAATTAACAATTTCATCGGTGAATATTTTTACTAAGAATAAATTACACTTTTGATTCATATTAATCTCAAATGCAGTTACGTCGGTGAATATCAATTTACAAAACATATACTGTTTCTCCTAAGGTCGATCGTATGAATCTATACATAACGATGTATCGATTTACATATCCTCATTGTTCAAATGAATCCAAACAATGTATCAGTTTTACTCAGAGAATAGAATTCCCTATAATAATAATCGACTTATATTTCCAATCAAATGGTTTTAAAATTTGTTATTCTTTCTTTTTATGAAAATTGAATGTTATTTCCTGAATGATTGAACCTTGATAATATTTTTATGAAAGATAGTTTTCATTAAAAAAATCGAAATAAATATTCTTAATTAATAATTCATATTAACGTTTTTTAAATGTTTTTTTTACAGTTATTTACGCATATATAATGGTATGTCAATTTTGTTCAATAAACTCTAAAAAGCATTAGTTCAATCGAAGAAAAAAAAAAAGAAGAAAAGCAGCTTTATATATATAATAATTATTTACTTAATAGAGAAAGAAAGAAAAAACGAAGAAGAATTTTTCTTTTTCAATTCTAATAAGTAATAGTTCAAGGTTTTACCACTTTTTATATTATACTATCACTTTACTTCAAATATCAGTCATGAAACAACACATATACATAGATTTTGACATGTATTTGACAAAAAAAAAGAGAACAACCATAACGACATTTTCAATTCCTTTTGAAAAAAGAAAAAGAAAAGAGAAATGTAACCGCGACAAAATTTCGCTTCTGTTCTGTTTATTTAATATCGCCATTGTGATTTCTATCGACATCATGCCAATACAACAAATTCATAAAGAAAAAAAAAGGCAACTATGTTAAAAGCAATAACGACAATAACAACTCTAACTATAACTTTACTTTATTTCCTACTTCTATCTCTTACATATCCTTATGTATGCTGGTTTAAATATCGACCAACAAATGATGATAATAATAATCATTATATACCATCAACTGATACTATTATTAATAAACGATTGTTAAAACTATGCACAAAAAAATATTCACTCGATTTAATGCCTATGCCTTCGAAAATAGTTATGCCTGATCAAGCAACAACTATACATATTCCATCGATTATTGCTATTAAAACAAAACATTCTTTACCATTTCCAACATTGAAAACATCGAAGAATGCTTCATTTATTCTTTTTATTGATTATGAGTTTGATAAAGAAAATAATTTTTATCCAGATTTAGGTATTGATGAATCCTATGAATTAAATATAACCTCGAAATATAATGCTTCATTGTATGCTAAGACATATGTTGGTATAATTCGTGGTCTTTCAACTTTTCAACAATTACAATATCAAAAAAAAGTACCCGTACCTCTTCTAATTTATGATAAACCTCATTTTATTTGGCGTGGTTTAATGATTGATGTTGCACGTCACTTTATTCCAATATCAATTATTAAACGAACACTTGTTTATATGAAATTAGTTAAATTAAATGTATTACATTTACATTTATCTGATGATCAAGGTTTTCGTCTTGAATCGAAACGTTTTCCACGACTTCATGATACTGAACAATTTTATTCTCAAGATGATATTCAAGACCTTATTGAATATGCTCGACAACGCGCTATTCGTATTGTACCAGAATTTGATATACCTGCACATACAACAGCATGGTTTGTTGGTTATCCACATTTATCAAGTAGTCAAAAAAGTTCGTATGAATTAGAAAAAACTTGGGGTGTTCATAATGCAACAATGGATGTTACACGTCAAAGTACATATGATTTTCTTGATAAATTTTTTTTTGAAATGATTCAATTATTTCCTGATAAATATTTTCATATTGGCGGTGATGAATGTGAACCATATGAATGGATGCAATCCGAACATATACAAAAATTTGTTAGACAACATAGATTACATCATCATCATGATTTACAAGCATATTTTACTAGACGAATAGAAAAATTATTAAAAAAATATAATCGTAAGTACAAATCTTAATCAAATTACAACGTACCAGTCCATTACCTTCTTCTCGAATATCTAGAAGGTATTCATAAGGACCATAAACTTCATAAATGTGTATATATACTTAAACGATACAATTTTAAAAAAAATAAGACTATCAACATCTACACTAGAGAACGAGATCAAGTGTGTTTGTTCAATATAAGAGTCATTATAAATGAATGGTTAAATTATTCAGTGCATACTCACAAAATACTGTCTTTCAGCCCTGAGGCGATCAGACATAGAATGAGTCAATTTTTCTATATGAAATAGTTTGTTTTATAGGATAGAGTGATATTCTAAAGAATTTTTCAGGTATAATGATGGGTTGGGATGAAATCAGTACATCAAATCTTTCACGTACATCAGTGATTCAATCGTGGCGTAGTAAAGCTTCTCTTGTTGATGCAGCTCGTCGAGGTTATCGTGCAATTCTTTCATATGGTTTTTATCTTGATCATATGGAATCAGCTAAATATCATTATAAGAATGACTTTCAAATTAATACAATATTAAATGAAATTGAACAAAAACGTATTCTTGGTGGTGAAGCTTGTCTATGGACTGAATATATTGATGGAAATATGGCACATTCTCGTATATGGCCACGCACTGCTTCTATTGCTGAAAGATTATGGTCATCATTATATGATCAAAGTGAATGCATGTATGATCGACTTGCTAAAATGGATAAGAAATTTTTTCATTCAAATAATGAACAATATATGAAAGATTTATCAAGATTTGTAACAAATCCAATATCGTTGAAACTTCTAGCTGATATATGTGAACCATTAGGTTTACAAGGACGTAATCGTAATCGTAATTATACAAGTGAAACATTATTAAATCGTTTTGTTGATATACTAAAACCAGAAAGTGAACAAACTCGACAATTACGAAAAATTACAAATATGTCATTATTATATTCAATATTTACATCATGGAAATTAAATAAATTATCTATTGATTCGAATGATACGGAGATTTTACAACTTTCAGAAAATTTAGTTCAATTGAGTGATATTGGTATAAATTTATTAAAATTATTAGATAAAAATCGAGAAAGAAAAATTATATCAGCACGATGGTATTATTATCAATTTTATATGTTAAAAAGATTAGAATATGAAGTATCTGAAATACGATTAGCCGGTGTACGTGTTGTACGAGATTTACTTGAAGAATTTGATCCTTGTGCATTTGATTTATTTAATCTTAGTCTTATTTTATTTTTTCCATTGTTAATTATTTTTGTACAACGAGTTACTTTTATTCGACGACGTCTTCTTTTACCTTGTTTACTTTTTTGTTTTCATTCGTGTGCACGTTGATAAGTCAGATAAAAAAAGATTTTCTCTAGAATGTTACTCCAAAAATTTATTTTCTTTAGAAAACTAGCTTTTTTCGTATTTAGTATTCCTCAGCTATATAAAGTCTCGCACGAATACGTTCATAAACAAATTCATCAGTTAATTTCCAACCCCATTCAGGTAATAATTGAGGTCGTTTATGTGGTGTTAGAATAATAAGTTTTTTTGCAACAAAACGTAATTGTATCATAACAAGTTGTAAATAGGATGGTGGAATAAGATGTGCAGCAAAACTACAAATAATTGTATCATAAATTTCACTTTCAAGACAACCATCAGCGATTTGTTCAAATGTCCATTTTGCATGAATTGGTGTGCCCGTACGTTTTTCGTATGCTTCACTTGTATATGGATCAGTACCATTTATATGTTGAAAACCTATCTGACGAAGAATTAATGTTATTTCACCACTACCACAAGCTAAATCAAGAATACGTTCTGTTGGTTTTATATTCCATTTTTCTACAAGTTGATGAACAGTTGTTATTAAACGATCTTCATGTGGATTGCGATACTCTGAACCATATTGACTGTAGTAACCATTAACACCATATTTTTCATATGCATGTCGTACAGCAAAATCTTCATCTTCATTATCATCATCTTCTTTTGACATGATTTCTTCTTTTTTTTAACGAAAATAAAATGATAAGCATAGTTGGATAATGTAATACATGAATCACATAATACCTTTCAAACAGGTTACAATAGAGGACACTACAGAACGAGCGAAAAGGATATGAGTGCAAGGTGAGTTTTTACTAGAATTTTCCTATGTGATTCCATTTTTCTTCATCAAATCTTACCCATATTCAAGCCTGAACTAGAGTAGAGGAAGATAATGAACAACATCTCAATCAAATATTTGTTTTTTCCTTGAAAGATAATTGAACTAGTAATATCATTCATATCAAAAGTTTTTATGTAAAAAGTCGGGAAGAAAAAAATTTATTCACAATTGTTCGTATGAAAGATATCATTTGACTAAAACAACGATTCATCAAGCCTAGAGTATAGCTTTTCTTTTTTTTTGTAGAACCTTGTAATGGATATGATCAGATCATTTCACAGTTTACTGTCAAAATATATTCTTCATCATTCCGCAGAATTAATTAAGTAATGAGATTTTGTATCGTATGTGAATATACGAAGAAGTTTCAGATACTTAAATCAATAGTATAAGTTTTCTTCTTTCTTCGTCTCCATCTATCTTCATTTACCGGTATTTATATATTCTTGTTATTGTAGATCAAATTCAATGTTCAATATACTGAAAGTAACAAGAAACTATTTTTTTTTGATTATTGTTGTGTTTGTAATGCATATTTACCTATTTATTTCTTTTTTTTGTTGTAATATTTGATTTTGAAAATATGATTAAAACTGTTACTTAATATGTTGTTAAATAGAAGAGAAACGGCAAAAGAGAGAAAGACTAATTATCAACAGCATTCATTCAGAAATTAGATTGCGACAATGGTAAATCTTAGCAAACGATCGTTTTGGAATTTTACATTAAAAGACATATTAAGTATTATATCTTCAGTTGCTATACCTATAGCTCTTGCTATTTATACTGCAATTGGGTCTCAACAACAAAAACAACAAGCTGAGAAAAAACAAAAGTTTGATTTGGAACAATCAACACAATTAAGACAACAAACACTTTATGATGAATTCATAAATAATATTTATAAACTAGATAAAGATGATTATCTCAATGACACAAAAAATCCATGGGCATTTGCAAATGCATATTATCGTGCTGCTCATCGTCAATGGGATACAATACGTAAAGCAGATGTCTTACAATTTCTAAAAGAAAAACAATTAATTGGTAGAAATAATTGTACTGATGGATGTAGAACAACAAAATTAGATGATATAATTCGTTTAAATGAGTTAAACTTTGATAATGTACACCTAGCAAGTGAAACTGGTATATTAAATAAGTTGAATTTACAATGTGTTTCTTTTGACCAAGTATCAATGTCAAATGCAGTATTTTCATTTGCTAGTTTAAATGGTGTATCATTTGATGGAGGACGATTAGATAAGGTAAAATTTGACGGTTCATCTTTACTTTGTGCTAGTTTTGATGGTGTAAATCTGTCGGGAGTAGATTTTGGAAATTCAGATCTGACAGGTGCGCAGTTTTCAAATAGTGATTTGTCTGGAGCTAAATTAACGGAAGATCAAATGAAGCAGGCATATTTTCATAATGTAACTATGCCAAATGGAAAGAAGAGTGAAGTTACATCCTCAACAACAACAAAAAAACCAATAACACAAACAACAACAATAACAAAAACAAAAATATCCATAATAACATCAGCATCATCTTTAACAACCTCATCAGCAACTGCAACAATAACAACAACGCCTTCAACAGCAGCAGCAACATCATCATCAACAACAACATTATCCTCAACTACAACAACATCAACAACAACATCAACAACAACAACAACAACAACAACATCAACAACAACATCATCATCATCCACAACAGAAGCAACATCATCAACAGTAGCAGCAGTAACATCATCAATAGAAGCAATATCGTCATCAACAGAAGAAACATCATCAACAGCAGCAGCGGCATCATGGACAACAACATTAATCGGTCAGTAATATTCCACACGAATTATAGTATCTTTTTTGGTTGCCAATCGATGAATTCTTGTTCAGTTAAAGAAACTATACTCTTAGAAGTTCCTGTTTCTTTTTTGCTGAATATGTTTTGATGATGATAAGTAATTTTCAGACAATATTTCCTTTTGAATATTATGTTGAAAGTCAGTCATATTATGTTTGTAGTATTACTAAAAGTAATTTTATTTACCTTTATCTTTATGAGATACATTTGTGTAGAATGAAATGCAGAATCTTTTAAGGGAGACCTTAGCTCGAAGTTACAACAACTGATGATAAATGCAAAAAATACACAATTTATTCCGTTTTAATTTTATCTGTAGATGTCGACCTTTGCATGTTAGATTTAACTTTTCTATGGATGCTTAACGGATTAAAGAGACTACTATGTTCTACAGAAAAGTAAAAGAGGACAAATTTTATATCTCCTGGACTTCTTTTGTTCAGTTTAAACGTCTAATGCAAACTTCAGAAAGAATCAGCCATTCTCATATTATACTTCGAGGTATTGTATGTCTGTTCGTTTGAGTGAAGAGATACTCCAGTACACTCGAGTAAATCGACCTATCATATAATTAGAAGATCTTCGTTATATTCAGTTGATATTACTAAAATAGAATAAAAGTATGTTTTTAGTGAGGTTCCATCGAAGTTTTAGTCTCTTCTGATGGCTAAGTCTAGTGAAGACATAATTTAGTGATTGTTGTAAAGTGTTGGCTCAACTCAACATATGTATTCGTCAGAATATGTTTAGAATGTCACAAAATAAACTTTGTATTGAAAAGACATTGCAAAGAATGATGTCACATTGAAAAACGAATGCAGAAGAGACGAATACACTCACTGAATTCGAAACTAATAACTGTGCTAACGTCGAAATAGACTAAACTGTCGTTCATAACGATGAATAGAATCGGAAAAATGGTGTAAGTAGTGGGATTGTAGAAGATGACAATTAGTCATAAACATAGTGGAATAATTTTATTGGCTGATTGGTTTGCTTTGAGTTCAGCTGAACTGTTGCAGATTAAATAGAATAAGACGGTGCGATATCGTGTTTTAATGATAAAAACTGTAATATAAATCTTTTTTTTTCTTGTTTAGCATCTTGTAACAGTACATTTCTTAATCAAACTATTTACTCAGTTGGTTCAAGAGCATATTCAGTAGTAGTAGCCGATATAAACAGCGACAATAAATCCGATATTATTACTGCAAATCGGGAGCGAGACACCGTCAGTGTTCTTCTCAACACAGGCAATAGCAATTTCTCTTCCCAAGCTACTTACACAGTTGATGAAAGTCCATATGTAGTAGTAGTAGCTGATGTGAACAGCGATAACAAACCCGATATTGTCACTGCAAATAGAGGTGCAAGGACCATCAGTGTTCTTCTCAACGTCGGCAACGGTACTTTTTCTCCTCAAGTTACTTACTCTGTTGATGTATATCAAACGTCAGTAGCAGCAGCTGATGTGAACAATGACAATAAATCCGATATTATTACTGCAAATCGGGATCGAGGCACCGTCAGTGTTCTTCTCAATACAGGCGACGGCAATTTCTCTTCCCAAGCTACTTACACAGTTGGTCAAAGTCCATATGCAGTAGTAGTAGCTGATGTGAACAGCGATAACAATGCTGATATTGTCACTGCAAATCGGGATCGAGACACCGTCAGTGTTCTTCTCAATACAGGCGACGGCAATTTCTCTTTCCAAGCTACTTACACAGTTGGTCAAAGTCCATATGCAGTAGCAGTAGCCGATGTGAACAGCGATAACAAACCCGATATTGTCACTGCAAATGAAGAGTCAAACACCGTCAGTGTTCTCCTCAATACAGACAACGGCACTTTTTCCCCTCAAACTACTTACTCAGTTGGTAAATATCCATATGCAGTAGTAGTAGCTGATATGAACAGCGATAACAAACCCGATATTGTCACTGCAAATAGAGGTGCAAGGACCATCAGTGTTCTTCTCAACGTCGGCAACGGTACTTTTTCTCCTGAAGTTACTTACTCAGTTGGTGAATATTCAATATCAGTAGCAGTAGCTGATGTGAACAATGACAATAAACCTGATATTGTCACTACAAGTGAGAATTCAGACACCGTCAGTGTTCTCCTACACTGTTAAAATTTATTTCTTCATTATACTCAACATCCTTAATGACATTTCTTTACTCTACCAACAACATTATCCATTGATTAACCACTTGACAATATGGAGCGAATGACAATGTTCGTTCGATACCAAAACTTTTCATAAAACTTTCCCATTATCAATCTTTCACTCAAACTCATGAATGCTTATAATTTCAGCTTTTTGTGCTGTTTTTTTGCTTAAATTAATGGAAAGCAAACTGATCCTATCTTTTGATGAAAATAGTAGTCTGAGTATATGAGTGAGGATGTGATTGGAAAGTGGGTATGAAGAATCATATTAGTATCTACACTCATAGTCACAGTCACATCAACTCTCATCAGGTTCCGTAGTATTGGAAACTAATGAGAAGTGCCGACTATTAACCAACAATTGATCAGTTTGCGAATTTTATCACATTTTTCAATTGCTTTTCCTTATATATCATTTATCACTAACAAATATATTTAATTAAATACTTCAGTTTGTATATCTTGTTGATAAAGAAAATTGTCGTAAGAGAGTCTCCTTAAGAAAGCCACAAATACACCCCGTTTGTTATAAATGATAAAAAGGATCTTTCCGTAATAGAGAACAATATTCTATGGCATCATTACCCAACAGCACACATCTATAAGTGAATAATAAAAGAAATCGATCAAAAAACAATAACATGCCCATAAATGATCAGAAACTTTTGATACATTAAATTTTATTTTTTTACGATGAGGATTGAGAATAATTTTCTTTCAGTTTAGTTTTTTGGTGAAATTTTGGTTCGATTCAAAATTATAGTTTCGTCGCCTATCAATTAAATTGATAAGAACCGATCAGTTCGGTTACAACACAGTTTCTTTCGTTTTAAAAAAATGATAAAATATATATTTATCACGCTTGATCAGCTCGTAAAAATATATGATGCACATGAAGAATCTCAAAACAAAAATCATGTGTAATATAATGCACTTCCCTTACTCGTTCTGATTCTATTGTAGAACGAATAAGTTTGTTTATGTATGTGTCATGAAATATATTTTTTTTAAAAAAAGCAGAAATTTATATCGATTTGTTCGTTTTTTGTACCTTATCTGTAGGTAAATAAGCATTAATTTCATTAAGATAACAAAATTAATTTAATTTATCTTTTTTTATATATTTCAGAAATAATTCAACATTTTTGATTTTTACAAATTAAACTTAAATAATCATAAAGATGATGAATATAAAGGAAGTATAATTTTTATTTATTTTTATCCCGACAATGAAATTGAAAATTTAAAGAAACGATTCTATACTGATGAAACACAACCTCATATAGATATTTTTCATGCAGTTGATTCGATTTCTATATACTAGCAAAAAAAAAGAATATGAATATTTTTTCATGAAAAATGATATATAATTGATATTTACGATAATTTCAACCGATTAGTTTCATTAATTGAAAAATAAACTAATTTAATTAATAAATAATATTATAAATGGACATTTTTAATCAAGAAAATTATTTAGTTAAAGACTTCTCAAAATAATTAAATGATTTTCTTTAGATATAACTATTTCGTCGAGCTATTTTACATTTTGTTCAAGATAAATAAGCGAAAAAAATCATTGATTGATTTATTTCATCTTTCTTCGAAAGAATCCCAATTTTTTGATAGTTTTTAACAGCAATATCGACCTAATGATATATTATTCGTTGCTATTTAAATAGAGCATTGAGAGTGGGTGCGGCTGTTCATGATGAATAAGAAGAATACCCATACCCACCCTTTCGATATTAACATTGGGTAGAAAAATCAAGTCTAGATGTCTGATGAAGACGATTGGACAAGCAGAAGCTTTGCTTATTCTGAATCTCTTTTCATCAAACTTATTAAAAATAATGACAGGAAAAAAAGAACACACTTGTGTATTTAAGACTTTAGTACTTAGAGAGTGTCGATATTCAAAAAAAAATGTCTTATATAAAACACGCGTAAAATCGATTAATAAACTTTAAAGCAGAAATGGATTATTTATAGAAAAAGTAACTATTCTCATAATCATTATATTAAATTCAAATTTTTATCTTATTCCTACTGTAGAAGTAATATTTACATGACTAATTTTAATTGCAATAATACTACGTTGCACACGATCAGACTCATCACTTGAGCGAGTAACTAGATAATTATTTTCTTTTACATGATACCTAATTAATAATTGAACTAATTCTACTGTATTCATGATGGCTATATTTGAACCATTGCCTAATCCTGGATTCATTGGATGAACCGTATCCCGAAGGCTTGGGTTAAGAGAAGATACACTCACACCCACCTCATACCCTCAAGACGGTTTCTATTGATTTAAGAAAAAATAGTACAAAAAGCTGAAAGTGTAAGCATTCATTGTGACCATCTTGAGGGTGTAGGTGTGGGTGTGAGTGTTCTTCTTATTCACAACCCACACTCACCCCTCAAGATGGTTTTTATTAATTGTTAGTATTTTCCTCGTTATTTACACAAATTTTCTGATTCAGAAAAATATCACAAAAGACGTTTTGATGAAAATCATACAGTTAAATTCACAGATGATAAATGTAACATAATGAAACTACTTGTTCCATACATTTGTTTAATTATGTTGTAAATGCTGAGATATGCGATATTTATTTTGTTTCTCTTTAGCAACTACTAGAATCTTACTATTTATACATTATTAATATAACAAAAGGCACAAATGTATATATTTTATAGAAGAAAAATAATGTTTTATGCACAACGACTAAGTATTATAAATGTAGAACGCTAAAAAAAACTTTTTCATCTTCGTAATATCAGTTCTCTTCTACTAAGTAAATTCATAGCTAATTACCGATCAGATATTATTTATTTAAATGAGTTTATATTTGTTTCCGGGCATATTCTACCCACAATAGAATACTAAATGATATTCAATACTGTAGAATTATGATATTTTACAATGAACTAAGTGTAATTAAAAACTATTTATCTTTCATCGACATCCATATTCCATACTTTCAAGATTTGTATGACATTATTTATTTATTCAGCAAGCAAAAAAAGAAAATTAAAATATAATAAGCGACAATGAAAACTGAATGAGTCAAACTAATAAAATGTTGTGTAATAATGAAAGCGAATGAAATTTGTTTTTTGTTTATTGTGCGATATCACTGGACATACTCGAAGCAGATAATGTATTTTTAATAAATTAAATAGCATAAGCGTATTAATGTGAAGTTTGCTTGTAAAAATCTATAGCTTCAGAAATTTTTGCACACGCATGTTACCAAAATCAGTAATATACATGTTCATGTCTGAGTCAAATGCAATACCTCTTGGTCCATTTAATGTCGTTGTAGTATTACCAGAAACACCAGTTCCAGCAATGGTCATACCTGCTTCATTATTGGCACAAAAAATTTGAATTCTATGGTTACTGTAATCAACAACGAACATATTTAGATAATTGTCAAGTTTAATACCCATCGGATTCTTTAAAAGAGTAGAGTTAGAGCCTGCTTTACCTGGCGTACCGGCAATGAAAGTACCTGAAGTAGCACCCGGTGTCCAACGCATTATTGAATGTCCATCATGATTTGTGATAAATAAATCACTACTTACAGATGGCTGATACCAAATACCCCAAGGATGGTTTAATGATGTGCTAGTGTTTCCTGCTCCATTTCCACCAGCGACAACTGTTCCGTTGTCACCTGCGTTCGAACTTGTCGAGTAGCGCATAATACGATTATTATAACTATCAGCGATATATATATATATGCTTGTGTCCGGTCAAGAGTAATATATCGTGGATGCTCCAATTGATTTAATGAAGATCCATTTGACTCACTTAGACCAGCTATCGTGATTCCACTGTTTGATCCGTTAAGATATTTTTGTATGCGCTGATTAGCGTAATCAACTACATACATAGTCTCATTGTTATCAACATAGACACTTTGAGGAAGACGCAGTTGAGTATTACTTGATCCCACTGAGTTTTTTATTCCAGCAATTACCGTTGCACTTGTAGCATTCTTCAATAATCTCCATACAACAGTATTAGCACCCTCATCCGTAATATATAAAGTATTTTGTGAGTCTATGTATATATCCACGACATTTGTAACTTGTGATGAATCGAGTATAGTAATTCCTGATTTATTCCAAACATAATTACCAGTTGTACCTAGAAATCATACAAGTGATATATTAACAGGATCTGATCCGTTGTCTTATCGAAATATGTACATCATAGTTTGAGTGCATCTCAACTGATCATATCAAAAAACCAAACATCAGAATACATAAGATCTAATGCACACAAGATTTTCTATACAACGTTTCTACTATAATACAACAATATCGAATATATTCAATACTCGAAAGATTTGATCTAATTTCGAATGATACATGCCAGCAGAAATCTTGCAAGAATCACATGATACGAAGCGAATAAGAATATAAAATACAAATTCTGTCATATGTTATACTAATAAATATAGGGTTTCCGAATACAACAAAATATTATAAGATCAGGTATGACGAATCTGATACATTCTTATGAACTCGAGTATGAGAGTATGTGTAGAAATGCGCATCTATCCATATCGTTTCGTATAGTCAAATATCGACGTTTTTACACTCTAGTTATCTTTATCAAAGAAAAAGTTACAGATATAGAGATGTGTTGTGAGTCATTGGTATAGTAATAAGAATACAGGCGTCGAGCAACCGGTTTGAGAGAACATTTAGGACTAGTATGGATGCAGAATCGTGATCAACATGGAGCAAAATCATGCTGTAAGACTTTTATCTATTCTTTGATCTTTTAGGTGTTTTTTAGGTGAGATCGGTAGAAGGCACAGATTATGATACGATTATACATAATATTGAATAATAATCAATGATTGATCTTATTTCATGATTGTATGATCTATGTAAGATTCAATACTAGTTTATATGTCTCGTTATATTCTTTTATTGTTCCTATTAATATTGCGCAGTTAAAATCTAGGGTTTACTTATGCAGGCCACATAATGTTAGATACATAATTGTAATTGAAAACAAAAATACACAGGATTAAGCATAGAAAAATGTATTGCATCAAAAATATCGATTAATATAGATGGAAAACACTCTTTCTTCTATGTGGACAACAGCGGAATGAATGATAATATATTTAGTTCATATCTTCTTTATAAGAAATCTATTCTGTTCACCAGAGTATCTAAAGCTATAGCTTCAGCCAATCTAGATCGTATATAGGCTGTTGTGGATATCACTTATTTTGAGCATCTAATATATTAACATGGAATTATTCTTTTTTGGCTGATGTATCTCAGCTATTCTCATGGTTACAAACCCTTCTTAGAAGCAAATTTTTCAGTCAAAGCGCGGATATTCATTTTATCTACGGATTTTATCGTAATGGAAACAAAATCAGTATAATAATGCTGACGGTACATCAACAGTCAACGAAAAGAAATACTTTGCAGATCAGTTCTAGCTCACAATGTCCTAACTAAAGAGAGGTAACTCTTCTGACAACTTCCTTACATAAAATATCAAATTTCGATAGACTCAACGAATGTTATTCTCTTATTCTGTTTTAACATGAGAATCGTACGACTGCTATTCGAAAATAATACAAAGCTACTTTCGTCAATTATTTTCGTCGGCAACTAAAACTAATGATTTTAATGAACAGTTCACTAAAAGTAAACAACACATTTTCTTACTAACATGGATTTCCTGCTGTTGTTGACGTTGACGTTGACGTTGACGTTGATGTTGTTGTTGTTGTTGTTGTTGTTGGCGTTGTTATTGATGTTGTCGACGTTGACGTTGTTGTTGATGTTGTTGACGTTGACGGTGTTGTTGTTGATGTTGACGTTGTTGTTGATGTGGTTGTTGACGTTGTTGTTGATGTGGTTGTTGTTAACGTTGACGTTGTTGTTATTGTTGTTGTTGTTGTTATTGTTGTTGTTGACGTTGACGTTGCTGTTGACGTTGTTGTTGATGCTGATGTTGTCGATGATGCTGAAGTTGTTGTGGATGATGTAGTGGATATTGTTGAGGTTAATGATGGTAATGATGCTGCCGACATTTTTGTTTCTATTATTGTTGTTGTTGTTTGTACTATAGATTTTTTTATTGTCGATGAGAATGTACTTTCACTCTTCGCTCCGTTTGGCATAGTTATATTATGAAAATATGCCTGTTTCATTTGATTTTCCGTTATTTTAGCTCCTGACATATCACTATTTAAAAACTGCGCACCTGTCAGATCAGAGTTTCTAAAATCTGCACCCGACAGATTTACACCATCAAAACTAGCACAAAGTAAAGATGAACCATCAAACTTAACGTTATCCAACCGTCCTCCATCAAATGATACACCATTTAAACTAGCAAATGAAAATACTGCATTTGACATTGATACTTGGTCAAAAGAAACACATTGTAAATTCAACTTATTTAATATACCAGTTTCACTTGCTAGGTGTACATTATCAAAGTTTAACTCATTTAAACGAATTATATCATCTAATTTTGTTGTTCTACATCCATCAGAACAATTATTTCTACCAATTAATTGTTTCTCTTTCAGAAATTGTAAGACATCTGCTTTACGTATAGTATCCCACTGACGATGAGCAGCACGATAATATGCATTTGCAAATGCCCATGGATTTTTTCTCTCCTTAAGATAACCATAATTATCCAATTTGAAAATATTATTTATGAATTCATCATAAAGTGTTTGTTGTCTTAATTCTCTCGATTGTTCCAAATCAAACTGTCGTGTTCTTTCAGCTTCTCGTTTTTGTTGTTGAGACCCAATTGCAGTATAAATCGCAAGAGCTATAGGTATAGCAGCTGAACATAGAATAGTTAATATGTCTTTAAAGGTAAAATGCCAAAAAGCTTGTTTGTTGATATCTACCATTGTCTCAATTTGATTTCAGAATGAACAGTAAAATATTGTAGTGTATTTGAATATTAAGAAAATACAAATGCTGCTAATAATTAATCTTTAGCTCTTTTGCTGTTTTTCTTTTATTTAACAACATATTAAGTAACAGTTTTAATTATATTATCAAAATCAAATATTACAAAAAAGAATGAACGCAATAAATAGGTCAATATTCATTGCAGACACAACGATAATTAGAAAAATAGTTTCTTATTACTTTCAGTTTAGTGAATGTTGAATTTGATCTAGAATAACAAAAATGTATAAATAACGGTAAATGCCGATCGCTAGAGACGAAGAAGGAAGAAAACTTAGACTGTTGATTTAAATATCGGAGATTTCTTCGTTTGTCTACATACAACACAAAATCATAGAACTTAATTAATTCTTCGAAATAATGAAAAAATATATTTTGAGAGTAAACCTGAAATGATCTAGTTATATCCATTTCAAAGATCTACAAAGAAAAAGAAAAGGAATACTCTAGACTTGATGAACTATTTTTTAATCAAATTCTTTGTTCCACACAGACAGTTCTGAATAAATATTTTTCTTTCAGAGTTTTTCATATAAAAATGTAGTAGAAACAGTTTTATAACTGACTCAAATTATTTACATTTATAATCTATCAAAATTAAGAATATAATTACAAAAGCAAAAGGCATTTGTAATGTTTGATAATGAAATGATAAAAAAACTAAATTGTCGATTGGATCAATCTATCTGATCTATGTATTCATATGAAATAAATAATACGTCAATAATATTCTAAAATTAATGAACTAGACAGTAATGATTTATGAACTTCTTCTAATTGACTATTTTCTTTTATTTAGTTTTCTTAAGAGTTATTCTCTCTTCTTCTCTCAAGAAAAAATATCAATTTCAGGCAAAGAAATGGAAATATAACCTACTTACATAATTATATCTCTTAGGCATTTATCATTCCTGTAGTTCAATTACTACAGCAATTTGAAACAAAAAGATCATCTTATTGATATTACGCTGTATTTTGACCTAAGTAAATAACAGAAAAGATTTTTCAAACGAGAATAATCTATACGTGATAAAGTATTCATCATGATATTAATTTAAATATTTATTTGAAATATTTTGAAATTTAATTCCTATAACATTTTTAATACATCAGACATTCATATTATTATCAAAAATCTACAAGTTAAGATGTTTTAATTCAGTCTTTTCAATCATTACATGTGTCAATTGAAAACATAAGAATATGAAAACAGTATGAAATATTTTATAATATATTCCGATTTCTTCATTATACAATATTCTTAGAATCTAATACCATTAGCACCAGGAGATATTCAATAATCTCTGAATCCAGTTGTATCATCATCAATTTTTATTTAAATCTTTGAGTAGACTCGATTCTGACGAACAACATAATGTTGTTCTCCGTTATAAGTAAAAGTAGAAGCATAACGTTTTTCGATATTAATATCAGACGTTAAGAAGATATCTTCTTCATAAAGAAAACGCTTATTTTCTGTTAGATTATAACTGTAGCGGTCTCTTTTATTCTACCATGCTCTCCGAGCGAGAAGGGAAACAAAGAAGGAGAAGGATGACATATAATTGGTAATCATTCACTTGGAGAGTGACATATCGTGTGATTCGTCACAGTGGTGTATTGCTTAGCATTAGCATACTAACAATACGGACTTCAACAAGAAAAAATTTCTTCTTAACATGTAGCAGCTGCCATTGATATACCATTAAAGTAAATCGAATGCTAAAAATTGTAGCATCTCATTTTTTTGGATTTTATTTCATGAAATGATTATTACAACATAAACAAAGACTTAAGAAAGAAGGCTTGATGATAAGCACTTCTTTGGGTGTGGATGTGGGTGGTTGTTCTCTTTATATCAATAAGGGACAGAGACGCACACACCAACACCTACCTACGATATTTTAGATTTTTCTGAATAAAAGGGTGTGGGTGTGATTGTGGGTAGGAGTGAGTGTGAACATATGATAACACAATATCTACACCTACACCCACACCCACAATACTACGTTGCACATGATCATGATCAAACACATCAATTGAGTGAGCAACCAGATAATTATCTTCTAGTGCATGGTGTTTAATTCATAATTAATGTAAACGAATTCTTTAAATTATCGAAACATAGAAATGTATGCAAAGTTTTTATAAGTAATTAACATTCATAATATCTATTTTACAAAAAGATTTTCTTGTTTAATTTTGAGATCATCTGCTTCTTCATCATTATTTCTTCTCATTCTTCTCTCACAACTTCCGAAAAGTCTTAAGAAAATCATTAATGATCAAAGGTTAACACAATCTATTAATGTTTCCAGAAGATAATCAATATACTTGCATTCATAATAAATGAGAAATACTACTTATAATATTTTCTCAAATTCAATGAAATTATTTCTTGAATTCTATACGTATACGCTTGATATAAACAAATTATGAATGAAATAAAAAAATTTAAATAGACTTTCTCTTGATTACATAATATAATCTTCTTCTCTTTTTTATAATAATTGATAAATACTTACTTATTGTAACATACAATAAACATAGAATCTTTTGACTCCGTATTATCGAAACATTTTTGTTATTTGAAGTTAAAGAATATCTATTGATTTTAATGGGATCTTAATCTAATTATTTGCATTATGATCTATAAGACGGAAATTTATCTTCACTATTATTGCAATTGAAACATGATGTATGTATTTCAAGGCATTATTTTATTCAAATGTATCTTTGAATGAAACTGATTGTCTTCTATTGAAAAATATAATAATTGTACAATAATTTATCATTGGAATGTTATTTTGAAAAGTAAAATCTGTATTTGTATTCATATTAATGATAAATAGATTTCTAAATATCTTAAAAACAGAACATGTAAAGGTCATTGTGAACAATGATCATATATTGAAATGAGTCGTCTATATAAGTTCATATCATCATTCAGATACACTAAGATAACATTCAAAATTAATAGGGTATATCAATAGAATTCGATATATATTTTTTATTTGTATGTGAAAGTATTGATTCTGCTCCTCAATTACTTCCATATATATGTATATATATACAGGTATTCCATCCATTTGATATAGATGAGTTTATCACTGCAATGAACTATTCTTTAATATTAAAGCAGCAAGAATAATTCTTTCTATCGATAAAAAAAAACTTTTTGTCTCCTTCTATTCTTCTATTTTTGTGTTCAGTATCTTTCTTTCTTATCTAACACAGCGAACTCTACTTGTTCAGATATAACAGTCTAACCGCAAAGGTCTTTTCTACACTACATAACTTTTCAATATGTATTATTTCCCTTACCCTGATTGTTACTGCTAATATTGTGTTCTCAACAAGAACACAGTTTCAATAGACATTTTCTTTTTCGTCAGTTTTATTTTATTTTCAACAAAAAATACAGAAAGAAATTATAATTTCTTTTTCATGTCTTCGAAGTTTTCTTTATATATTTTAAGATGAGCATGATTTGTCGGTAATGATTGTTGTCCAATTTGTACAGCACGTTCATAAAATGAATGAGCTTTTGAATAGTTGCCCATTTCCTGATACACAACACCGATGTTGTTATAGGAAGCATCCAAATCAGGATGATTGGAAGGAAGTAATTGTTCTTTGATTGCAAGGGCTTTTTCATAATAAAAAAGTGATTTCGGAAAATCACTCATCTTCTCACATACATTACCGATGTTGTTATAGTAACTACCCAAATCTGGATGATTGGAAGGAAGCGATTGTTGTTTGATTGCAAGAGCTTTTTCATGAGCTAAAAGTGCTTTTGGATAGTCACCCATACTATCATACACATTACCGATGTTGTTATAGGAACTACCGAAACTAGGATGATCGAAAAGAAGTGATTGTTGTTTGATTTCAAGGGCTTTGTCATGAGTTAAAAGTGCTTCTTGATAATTACGCATGTTGTAAAACACTAAACCGATGTTGTTATACGAAGCACCCAGGTCAGGATGATTCGAAGGAAGTGATTGTTGTCGAATTGCAAGGGCTTTCCTAAAATACGAAAGTGTTTTTGGATAATCACGCATGCTGTAATACACTAAACCGATGTTGTTATATGTATCACCCAAATCAGGATGATTGGAAGGAAGTAATTGTTGTTGAATTGCAAGAGCTTTTTCATAAAAAGAAAGTGCTTTTGGATAATCACTCATGCTGTCATACAGTAATCCGATATTCGTATAAGTAGCACCCAAATCTGAATGGTTAGAAGGAAGTGAGTGTTGTTGAATTGCAAGCGCTTTTTCATAATTAGAAAGTGCTTTTGGATAATCATCCATGTTTTCATATACCACACCGATACTGTTATACGAAGCACCCAAACTAGGACGATTAGAGGAACGTGATTGTTGTTTGATCGCAAGAGCTTTTTCATAATACGAAAGTGCTTTTGGATAATCACCCATGTTGTCATACAGTAATCCGATGTTCTTATAAGAAGCACCCAAATCTGGATGATCGAAAGGAAGCGATTGTTGTCGAATTGCAAGCGCTTTTTCATGAGCTGAAAGTGCTTTTGGATAATCACCCATGTTTTTATACACCACTCCGATACTGTTATAGGAAGCACCCAAATCTGGATGATTAGAAGGAAGCGATTGTTGCTGAATTGCAAGGGCTTTTTCATAATTAAAAAGTGCTTTTCGATAATCATCGATGCTGTCATATAGCAATCCGATGTTCTTATAAGAAGCACCCAAATCAGGATGATTAGAAGGAAGTGATTGTTGTTGAATTGCAAGGGCTTTTTCATGATATGAAAGTGCTTTTGGATAATCA